CTGCCTGCAAAGTAAAACTCAAGACATCTATTGGGATTTTTATATTTAGGGAGACAAGCAGGAAACAAGAGGACCAGACAGCTAAACATTGCAGCTGTACAGGGTGCCAGAACTAGGGAAGCATGGAACTTTAGGGTTCAGGGTAGCAAAAATGGGTAGGAAAATTTTCCAAAAAATGTTTTAAGGTGCTCACACCTTAAAGTGCTACTAAACCCACAACCCTGCATTCATTATATCTGGTCTTCTACATTACAAAGAACATGGAAATGCATCTATTTTAGTAAATATAAACTGCTAAATACCTCTTTCTCATCAACAGCATATAGACGTCTTGTGACTTCTATTACTGTCCAGCCAAGCACTGGTTAACCTTGAAGGTGAAGTTTTCATTCTCCTCTGACTGTTCTATGAGGCTGCATGACCCCTGACACTCTGTCTGGACAGTGCTGATTGGCCCTGTGCTGGTCACATGCACCCCCCAAAAAAAACAAAAAAAACTCTCTAGCAACAGACACCAAAGAATGTGTAGACTTGCCACTGCTGCTCTGTACTATGGTAGATGGATTGGGAAAAAGTAAAAGAAGGGAAGGATCAGAGAGGACAGGATCAAACAGCCTTTTTACACAATGCGGGAGGTTCCACAATGAGTATAACAAGAAACCTTTACTGCATATACAGACTGATTTTACAGTTATGGGTTTAGTAACACTTTAAGCATGACATTGTCAGTAACAAAAAGCCATGTTGGGAGAAATAAAGAGCTGCCACTTCTGACCTTTTAGATCTGGCAATTGCCTGGCTGACTCTGGCTTCAATACATTGTACCATTGACCTGGAATAATCATGCAGATTAGAAAGTTAGAGTGAAGTCCATACTCCTTTTTCAGGTCTGTCCCTGAAAAAGAACCAAAGCCATTGAAACCACAATTCAGCCTGGCAACTTGCATTGTTAGGAGGGGTCAGCAACGGCAGCCACCACATTTTCTTGTTATTCTGGAAATGCCAGATGTACATGATAGATATTTGAATATATATATATATATCATTTTCAACTGTCAATCTGCAGCTTTCATTAAAATAATATGTGGTGACCCTGCCATGATGGTCCTTATTCAGGCACTCTGTTATGGATGATGTTGTGGGGCAACAATAGTCTCCCAATTGTGCTCCTGCATTGTCACTCTGTCACACAGCCATGGTGGACATATTATGCAGCAATTGCCCACCATTGTCAGCAGGAAGACAGCCAAAGCAATGATATGCAGCCAAAGCTAGAGCCATTGCACATAGACAATAAGTAGTTGAAAAAGGCTGGAGGAGATCAGCAGTACTGGAATACAAAAAAAAAAAAAATGTACAGTATACAGGACAATCGTTCATAATGCTCAATGATTTAGCATACTAAATTTCATTCTGTTTGGGTTTAGATCTACTTTACAGGTCATTATAGGAGCGTCTAATAGACACTAGGATCTAACATAGGGCAGGTTAAAATGGTTGTAAAGGCTCAAGGCTTTTTATCTTCATGCAATCTATAGGGTCGAACCACGGTTCTACAGTGAGGAACAGAAGTATTTGAACACCCTGCGATTTTGCAAGTTCTCCCACTTTGAAATCATGGAGGGGTCTGAAATTCACAGTGTAGGTGCATTCCCACTCCGAGAGACAGAATTTAAAAATAAATTCAGGAAATCACATTGTATGATTTTTAAAGAATTTATTTGTCTTGCACTGCTGAACATAAGTATTTGAACACCTGAGAAAATCAGTGTTAATATTTGGTACAGAAGCCTTTGTTTGCAATTACAGAGGTCAAACGTTTCCTGTAGTTCTTCACCAGGTTTGCACACACTGCAACAGGGATTTTGGCCCACTCCTCCACATAGATCTCCTCTAGATCTGTCAGGTTTCGGGGCTGTCGCTGAGCAACACGAAGTTTCAGCTCCCTCCAAAGATGTTCTATTGGATTTAGGTCTGGAGACTGGCTAGGCCACTCCAGAACCTTGATATGCTTCTTACGGAGCCACTCCTTGGTTATCCTGGTTGTGCGCTTCGGGTCGTTGTCATGTTGGAAGACCCAGCCATGACACATCTTCAATGCTCTGACTGAGGGAAGGAGGTTGTTGCTCAAAATCTCACAATGAATGGCCCCATCCATCCTCTCCTTAATAATGTGCAGTCGTCCTGTCCCCTTAGCAGAAAAGCACCCCCAAAGCATGATGTTACCACCCCCATGCTTCACAGTAGGGATGGTGTTCTTGGGATGCAACTCATCCTTCTTTTTCCTCCAAACACGACGAGTGAAGTTAAGACCAAAAAGTTCCACTTTGGTCTCATCTGACCAGATGACTTTCTCCCATGTCTCCTCTGGATCATCCAGATGGTCATTGGCAAACTTCAGATGGTCCTGGACATGTGATGACTTGAGCAGGGGAACCTTCCGTGCAATGCATTATTTGAAACCATGACGGCGTAGTGTTCTACCGACAGTGACCTTTGAAACTGTGGTCCCAGCTCTCTTCATGTCATTGACCAGCTCCTCCCTTGTAGTTCTGGGCCGATTCCTCACCTTTCTTATAATCAGTGATACCCCACGAGGTGAGATCTTGCATTGAGCCCCAGTCTGAGGGAGACTGACAGTCGTCTTTAGCCTCTTCCATTTTCTAACAATTGCTCCAACAGTTGATCTATTTTCACCAAGCTGCTTGGCAATTGCCCCGTAGCCCTTTCCAGCCTTGTGGAGGTCCACAATTTTGTCTCTGGTGTCTTTTGACAGCTCTTTGGTCTTGCCCATGGTAGTAGTTGGCATCTGACTGACTGTGGGGTAGACAGGTGTCTTTAAAGAGCTCAGACAGGTGCTACTATGTTAGATTAATGAGTGGAGTAGAGGTGGACTTTTTAAAGGCACAGCAACAAGTCTTTGAGAGCCAGAATTCTTGCTATTTCTTAGGTGTTCAAATACTTATGTTCAGCAGTGCAAGACAAATAAATTCTTTAAAAATCATACAATGTGATTTCCTGAAATTTTTTTTAAATTCTGTCTCTCAGAGTGGGAATGGAACTACAATGTGAATTTCAGACCCCTCCGTGATTTCTAAGTGGGAGAACTTGCAAAATTGCAGGGTGTTCAAATACTTCTGTTCCTCACTGTATGTGTCTTATGGACGGGAGCAAGCACACAGCGGTGCCCCCAGGGCAAGCGGATTTCTCTGGGGGCACTAAGAGGGGGAGGAGCTAGGAGCGCCAATGGTGTATCTTAAGTGAGGATCGGAGCTGCTCTGTGCAAACGTACTGCACAGGGCAGGTAAGTAAGACATGGTTGTGATTTTGGAAAGAAATAAAAAAAATTATACACATAAATACACACACTATATATATATATATATCAGTGGTTCTTAACCTGGGTTCGATCGAACCCCAGGGGTTCGGTGAGTCAGTCTCGCGGGTTCGGCGGAGGTGAAGACCCACACCCGACTCATATGATTCGTGATGACATGCCCCGCTTGTCCATCATTGGCTGCAGGTGGTCACGCAACATCGCTTAGCCCAGTGGTCGGCAAGCCGCGGCTCGCGAGCCACATGCGGCTCTTTACACGCTTTAATGCGGCTCTTGTGTGCCGGGCGCCCGCTCCCCTCCCTCCTCTCGGGTGGCAGGGACTCTGCAGCGTGATCCAAAAAAAAAAACCAGCCAGGGCAGCGCGCTCAAATGCAATGATTGGCCAGTCTCGCTGCCACTCACATCCTGATAGCCAGTGATTGGCTGTCAGGATGTGTGTAGGCGGGGCAGCGTGACAAACGTGAGAGGAGCTAGGCTCCTCTCACAGTCCGCCCTGAAGACCGGAACGGCGCGGGAATACGGCGAGAGGAACGCGCGGAGCAAAGGTAAGTGAATTGACACAGGGGGGACTTGGCTTACTACTTACTTACTACTACTATATAAGGGATGAATTAATATGGGGGATGAATTACTATAGGGGGGATGAATTACTATATGGGGGATGAATTACTATGGGGGATGAATTATTATGGGGGATGAATTACTATATGGGGGATGAATTACTATGGGGGATAATTACTATATGGGGATGAATTACAATATGGGGGATGAATTACTATGGGGGATGAATTACTATATGGGGGATGATTTACTATGAGGGATGAATTACTATGGGGGATGAATTACTATATGGGAGATGAATTACTATGGGGGTTGAATTACTATATGGGGGATGAATTACTATATTAGGGATGAATTACTATATGGGGGATGAATTACTATATGGGGGATGAATTACTATGAGGGATGAATTACTATATGGGGGATGAATTACTATGGGGGATGAATTACTATATGGGGGATGAATTACTATATGGGGGATGAATTACTATATGGAGGATGAATTACTATGGGGGATGAATTTTCATACCGTTTGTTACAACATATCTTTGCGAGCAATCCTTTTCGAGGATGCTGGACATAAAGACGAAGAAAAGGAACAGACTTTGTTGCGAAAATGACATGAGAGTGGCACTTGCCAAGGTAATGCCGCGCATTTCTGAACTGGCCTCTGAAAGACAACAGCAGAAGTCACACTGATTTGCGGTAAATATTCATTATTTTGTTTTTGTGTGAAAATCATGTTTTAATGGTTTTGTTCTTTGTTCTTAATGGTTTTGTTCATTTTGTGCACCTATGTATAAATATATACCTATGTTTTGAATTTTAAAAATCATATTTTATTTTTCCAATTAAGAAGGGTTCGGTGAATGCGCATATGAAACTGGTGGGGTTCAGTACCTCCAAAAAGGTTAAGAACCACTGATATATATATATATATATATATATATATATATACACCGTATTTTTTGCTCCATAAGACGCACCTGACCATAAGACGCACCTAGGTTTTAGAGGGGAAAAAAAAGAAAAAAAAATATTCTGAACCAATGGACTGCAGACACAGTACAGGGGATGACCAGAGACTGCGGACACAGTACAGGAGATGACCAGAGACTGCGGACACAGTACAGGAGATGACCAGAGACTGCGGACACAGTGCAGGGGATGACCAGAGACTGCAGACACAGTACAGGAGATGACCAGAGACTGCGGACACAGTGCAGGGGATGATCAGAGACTGCGGACACAGTGCAGGGGATGACCAGAGACTGCAGACACAGTACAGGGGATGACCAGAGACTGCGGACACAGTACAGGAGATGATCAGACTGCGGACACAGTACAGGAGATGACCAGAGACTAGGGACATAGTACAGGAGATGACCAGAGACTGCGGACATAGTACAGGAGATGACCAGAGACTGCGGACACAGTGCAGGGGATGACCAGAGACTGCGGACACAGTGCAGGGGATGACCAGAGACTGCGGACACAGTGCAGGGGATGACCAGAGACTGCGGACACAGTGCAGGGGATGACCAGAGACTGTGGACACAGTGCAGGGGATGATCAGAGACTGCGGACACAGTGCAGGGGATGACCAGAGACTGCGGACATAGTACAAGAGATGACCAGAGACTGCGGACACAGTACAGGAGATGACCAGAGACTGCAGACACAGTACAGGAGATGACCAGAGACTGCAGACAGTGCAGGGGATAACCAGAGACTGCGGACAGTGCACGGAATGACCAGAGACTGCAGACAGTGCAGGGGATGACCAGAGACTGCAGACAGTGCAGGGGATGACCAGAGACTGCAGACAGTGCAGGGAATGACCAGAGACTGCTGACCTTTGGGGAGGGAGGGGGAGCGGGTACCTGAATTTGACAGGTACCCGCTCCCACTTCCGCGGAGTTGTCCTTCCTTCCTTCTTCCCGGGCCGGCTTCTGTGACAGCCGGGTGCCCACTGCGCATGCGCGAGAAGCGCTGCGCTTTGTGAATGGCCCGGCGCCTTCTGGGACCTGTCATGTGTCCCAGAAGACACCGGATCATTCACAAAGCGCAGCACATGCGCAGTGGGCACCCGACTGTCACAGAAGCCAGCGCGGGAAGACCGTGCAGCGCTGGAGCGAGGAACAGGTAAGGCCCTGCAGGAGAGAACAGCTGAGCGGCCAGCCCGGTATTCTGACATGGTGGCGGCAGAAATACCGGACCGGCCACTTTATATTCGCTCCATAAGACGCACTGACATTTTCCCCCCTTTTTTTGGGGGAAAAAAGTGCGTCTTATGGAGCGAAAAATACGGTATATATATATATATATATATATATATATATATATATACATACATACATACATACATACACACATATACATATTATTATACAGTAATTATATAGCGCTAAAAGGTTTGCTCAGCGCTGTACACTATAGTGGGGGACAGAACATGAGACAATACAGTAACAAAACAGAACACGAGGGATTCAAGGGCCCTGCTCTTTCGAGCTTACAATCTATATATATATATATATATATATATATATATATATATATATATATATATATACACACACACACACACATACATATACACACACACGTATATGCTTTAGTATCACTAAAAAGTATGAGTTCAGCTTTGGGAACATGTTATATGTTCGACCAGTTTTTAGGGTGGAACATGTACCCACTCCTGCAGTGGCTCCCCAATTGCTCCCCTCCCGTGACAGGAGGCTGGGAACCTTCTCCCCGCACCCACTATTTGGAAAGAGCACAGCAATGTGGGTCTCCACCCACATGGCCTCGTCATTCATTCACAATTCTGTGAATTAATAAACTACAAGTCACAGCATTTGCAGTGGTCGGCTTGTAGTTCTCATTGAACTACCAGGGTGCTGTTTTGCGCTCTAGGTAGTTGACGGATTCTTCCTGTCAGTGTGTAACTGCCTGCCTGCATAAGGTACGAGCAGACAGCTTACACCGAGTCTGCATGAGCCCTGCATTGCACCTGCGATCTGCTGATCACAGGTGCAATGCTTTCCAGGCTCCTAAATAAAAAAAATAATAATAATAATTTAAAAAAAAAATAATCTGCACTTTTTTACCTGGGAAAAAAAATGTGCATTTATTATTTTTTAAAACGTGAACTATCCTTTAATGGTAGGATGCACCAAGATTTTCCTTGTTCACCCACAGACTGAATGAGAATGTACTCAATTCCCCTATCCAAGCTAAACAGCGTGGGTGGATGAATCTCTCCTGCCAGGTGCTGCATTATGACAGCCAGCACCCATGGCTGTGAGGATATCCAAACAGCAACAACATCCGATTGGATTCAGCCACTGCTCAGCCATTAATGTTATGCCTGGCCCCTTCAATTTAAGCTCAAAGGATGTTGAGCAGATGATACCAACTGGGCCACCAACAGCTCAAATGTTGGTTGGTTCATCAGGAACTGGCTGAAACTCACACCATTTATGACCGACTTCAGGTCAAAAAAGGGGAAGAACGTAACTGCTTTTCAAACAAGACACTCTGGGGGAGATTTACTAAAACTGGTGCACAGAGAATCTGCTGCAGCTGTACATACCAGGCTTCTAGGTTACATTGTCAAATTATAATTGAACAAGCTGAACTTAGAAGCGGATTGGTTACTATGCGCAGCTGCACCAGGTTCTCTGTGCACCAGTTTTAGTAAGTCTCCCCCTCTGTGGGATCCAGAGGTACAAATATTAATAGCAGGTTTATCAATATCTAATTTCTGGTTTGTTTAGAACGATGGATGTATATCAGGTTCACATTAAACTGCTCAAAAAAAAAAAAAAAAGTCAGCATACCACAGTGTAGCCATTTACCTGGAGGACACTCAGACGCAATGGCTAGTTGCGCATAACTGGAAAAGATTTTACAGGTAGACGGCGGCCTTTATAACCGCTTGACCTTAACATTAGCAATTACTCGATATGGTCCTTTATTTTAACAGAGCTCCTATTACAGCTCCATACAGACAAAACAAAGACTGAAAAAATATTCAGACTCTAAAACCTGGATTAAACAGGTTCAGAAAATGCCGTGTTGTTCTAGAATATTTATGTATGAAAGCTGTGAAAGGAAAGAGAAAACACAGATGGACTGCGAGGAGGGCAGCGACCCCGGACAATGACAATGTTCTCTCCTAAATATCATCATACCACCTCCTGAACAGTCTTCATTACTGTAAAGGACTTAAGGTGGCCAGCTCAGCAACCTTAATTTTCTTACAAGGAGCGCGGCAGACCTTCAAACAGATCCTGTGGCAAGCGAATAAAGCTGCGCTCGCTTTTTATCTTCAGAAGAGGATAGAAGAAAAAAAAATAAACATTGCGTTGCCTACCTGGCTCATGCCTTTCTTTATGAGGTGTTTCACCTACAAAATTGTAAAGAGACAAAATTTCATGCACAATAAAGGCCAAATAACCAAGTCATTTTTTATTTCATACTTGTGGAATGCCAGTATTTTGCTATTTAACACTTTAAATATGGGGCATTACAGCACCTAAAACCATCTCCCTTGAATCATGCTGGTAAAGACCCTATACACAGCTCAAAATACTTAAAGCTTTAAAATAAAAGTATGGGCAAAATTAAAATAACCGTCATGTGTTTCAGTCTGTCACTGATGTTAAACCAACAGTGTTTGATTTTATGAATTCCCCCTCTAACATAGTTTTATCATCTGTTGATCCTGCCATCCAAGCAGTTATTTTCATACTTCTTCCAACAGGAGGACAACGCTATTCATCCTGTAATGAAATCGTACAGCAGTGTGTCAACTTGTCTTGAAGGGTTATGTAGTTAAAAAAAAAAAAAAAAAAAAAAAAACACTTCAAGAAATTAAAATGACAACTCAGCTAATACTTTAATTTTTGCACAGGAGGTGGTATAAACCAAATGAACAGGGGTGAGCTGAAAACTCATTGGGCCCCCAGGTTTAACCGCTTCTGTGCAGCCCTATAGCAGAAATACTGGTACAGTGAGGCACAGGTGCGTATCACGTATATATACACACATTTTGCGGTTCCAGGTAGGGACTGAGAGCGCCCTAACTGCGCCGCCATTCACGGCCTTGGCTGTCAATCACCGCGTCCCGGCCAGTGATTCCCTGCCAGCACCCGATGATCACCAAGTTGTATAAACACCACATCTCTGCTGTCAGTTCCTGTACACTGCTTTGTAAGAGCCATACAAAGCAGTGTGCTTAGAGTGAAACACACACACAGACCCCATAGTAAAACAGCACACAGTTAACCTTTTGATCACCCCACGTTAACTTTTTCCTGTCCAGTGCCATTAGTACAGTGTCAGTGCTTTCTATTAGCACTGATCACTGTTTTAGTGTCACTGGAAATGTCAGTGACACCAAGTCAGTTCCCGCCAGTGTCAGAATGCCCACCGCAGTCCTGCTATAAGTTGCCAATTGCCGCCATTACTAGTAAAAAAAAAAAAAAAGTTCCAGTATATATACCGCCATTTGTAAACACTAACTTTCACGTAAACCAATTAATTTACACATATTAAGATTTTTTTTTTTTTTAGCAAAGACATAGTTTACCATGCTTCAGTTATAAATGGAGGGGGTTGGACAATTACAGAATGATGCCCTGTGTTTCTCCGTGCAGCAGCTGAAAGCCGGCAGGAGGGAGAAGTTGGCTTTAAACTGCTGCAGAGAGTCGCACAGGGCATTGTTCTGTAATTGCCCCCACCCCACCAATTTTCCCTGCTCATGGGGCCCCCTTCTGGTCCCTGGCTCTTGGGCAGTGCCTGAGTGCCCGAATGGTAAGTCTGCCACTGCATATCAAAAAGAGTTGACTGTTGTATGTAAGTAACCCCCCCCCCCCCACTCTGTTCTACGATTTAGAAATATTAAAAAAAAAAAAAAAGAAAAATTTACACACTCTGCATGTTCCCTGTCTGCAGTGGTCAGGACCTAACAAAAGTGGTCCCAGGAAGAAAAACCTGTGATCCAGTGAGAGTCATGGGAGGCCAAGACTCATTGATGGATTTGGGGAGCAAAGGCTGCCCTGTGTAGTCTGATTAGATAGAATAGCTACTGTAGCTCAAATTGCTGAAAAAGTTAATGCTGGTTCAAACAGAAAGGTTGCCTTGATGGGTCAGGGATGTTTTGGAGACAAAAGGGATTTACTAGGTGTTTTAGGTTTTTTTTTTTAAATAATCCATGTCACTTTAATTTTGATGTCTGCGTCCTGTTAGGGATATATCCCTTCACTTCCTGTTCCTGAAAACACAAACGTGAAAACAAATAATTCCCCTTTAGTGAACCCCTACCGGCACAAGTGTCCCAATTAAAGATTCCCCCTCAACTTTTGTTATGCGCAACAGTAAAAAAAAAAAAAAGCAGGGTGAATCTCCCCAGTGGAGGACACAGACAATAAAACTTGACAAAAGTGTAACCTATAAATGCCCCCCCCCTTCTTTGTAAATCTTTTTATAGGCTTGGGTATATGGCTCTGCTCTTTAACTGGGAAAAAATCCAGTGGAATAACTTAGAATTAACATACTAAAAGCATTAAGATTCATATATTTTTTTTTTAATGAAAAGGCATTACAAACAGGTCTAAATATTAGCCGAAGAAAGATGTACAGTCGTCATTAATCCCCACATTATTTTTTTAATCCATTAATTAA